AAATTAGACAATGATTGCGTGCCACAAGTACTATAATAAACCTATTAACATACGATTAAGTCTAACAAGTATTTCAGTATGTCAAATTGTAAGAATTCGCTCTTAAAATTCAATGAACTGAAATAATAAATAATGAAATAAATAATTGTATGATTTGTAAATCAATTATTAGGAATACAAATAAGTTTCCGCCGTTTGCAAAAGACGGCGCCATTAATAAACTATATAGTTAAAATTGTTTGATGTAAAACGACATATCGTAAGATTGGACATCCGGCAACACCATAACCTTGAAATATGAGCGATTTTGTATCAGCATCATATTAGGTGTACAACTTTACTTCCGTTTTTTTTCCGAAATTCGAGGCTTTATTGTAAAAAACTGGTTATACATTTATGATTCAAAGTATTGTCCATCGCTGGCCACTACTTTCTCCCATCTTTCGGGTAGCGTACGAATCCCGCGTCGAAAAAACTGGTCATCTTTTGAGGCTATCCACGAATCGATCCAATTTTTTACTTCTTCATAAGACCGGAAGTGCTGGTCAGCCAGGCCGTGTGCCATTGATCGAAACAAGTGATAGTCAGAGGGAGCAACGTTTGGAGAATACGGCGGGTGGGGTAGGACTTCCCATTTCAACGTTTCCAAATATGTCTTGACCACTTTCGCAACATGGGGTCGAGCATTGTCATGCTGCAAAATCACTTTATCTCGTTTTATTGCGGCCGTTTGTCTTTCAATGCTCGGCTCAAACGCATCAATTGCGTTCGATACCGATCGCCTGTGATTGTTTCAATCGGTTTTAACAGTAATTACAACAATGAGAAACGGCATGAGTCACAAGATCCTGATAGATGTTCAAAATATAAGCTAGTAAAGCAATGCAAGATTTTAAAGATCTTGATAATAAATGTAATTTATCGAAGAAATCGATATGTCTGAAATGATGTTAAAATTAAATGCAGATCAAAAAAGAATATTTAATAAAGTTAGTACCGTTATGTCAGATAAAAAATTATTATAATTGTATGGTAATGGAGAAGGAGATATCGGAAAAAATTTCTTGATTAAAACTATTAAATGCTGGATAAAACAAAATATCAGCAAAGATACTGCTATAGCGACACCCACTGGTATAGCAGCGTTTGGTTTGACAGTACATAGATTGCTTCAATTAACAGTTGAACATGATAATAATGAATATTATCATGATAATAATGATAATATTCCTAAGCACCATTAGCTGATTACGTTTTAAAAGTTTTACGAGCAGATCTCAAAGATGTTCTTTTTATAATTGATGAAGCTCAATGATATCTAATTTAACTTTATTGTACATACATCTACAATCTGAAATATTCAATACTATCGATTGTGATGATGGTTGATTTGGACAAAAGTTTATTCTTTTATTTGGAGACTTCAATTACTTTCTTCTTACATAAAGACTCTGCCTTTGTACGTTTATGAATGAAAAAATTTAAAAATTTCTTGGTCCCTTACACACTATTAATTTATAGATTACGGTATCACTATAATTCACGGCGTCTGGTTATTTCGCCTAATCGCATCGACGAAAAATCGATCAATCCACAAGACGTCGATCGCTAAACAACGCGTGCGCCACGTGTAATCGATTGGAAAAGATCAAATCATCATGGCCGCTCTAACTGTCTAGTCGACGCACGTGTCTCGTCTCGTGGAAAGGTATCGTCGCGCTACCGCTGAGATCCTTTCCGCATCCGCTATGAAACACGTTCGCCCGCGCTCGAGGCATATTTAATAAAAGTTTGGAAAGCAGAGAAGATATCATTTTCTCGACCAAGTGCCCTCGAAGCATTAATATCGCGGGAAACGCTTGGATGGTGATCGCGTGGCCGCGCCATTACGAGTGCACGCGCAGCAAGATCGCTAACATTTCTTTGGTCCTTCGAGCCGGATAGTGTTAAGTATTTGACCTTAGTGAAGTGGCGAGCAGCAATTTGGCAGTCAAACAAGAATATCTCATCGAGACGAAACAAGCATAGCAACAGCGGCAGCACACACTTCATAAAGCAGTCGCAAGGCCCGCATCTAAGCATCAGAGCCCGGCTCATATTATGTCGTCTCCTGACGAAGAATCAACATTTTACGAGCGGAATCCTGTCGACGGCGGAAAACAAGGCCCAATCCAGATGTACAACGGAAGATCCCTCAACGATGCATCATCTGCGAGAGGAAACAACAACGTTCGATTGGAAGGCATCTAGCATCTATCGCATCCCTTCCTAGGATTAATTGCGTGCGTAACAAGGTAAGGAAGACCACTGTCTCCGTTGCCAACTAAGTCCACCACGTCCGTTGCGTGTATGCGTGCGCATTTACATTCAAAATGATCGACCAACCAGAAGCGACGATACTTAAGCGACAGCGCGCGACCATAAAGGCATCATGTACGCGTATCAGAACTTATGTAGAGTCAATCGCCACCATTAGCCCGTCAATAGTGGCTCAACTCGAAGAGCGGAAGGCGAAACTCGAGCAATATTGGGCGGAATATAACGATGTGCAATCGCGTCTAGAATCATTAGACGAGTCCGAAGGCTGCGATCGAGACGGTTTCGAAGAAGCGTTCTATGCATTATCCGGTAGAATCCGCGAACTCATTTCTCCTTCGCCGACATTACGAGCGTCCATCTTTTCTCCGTTCTCCTCAAGTGCGAATTAGAGTAATACGCACATTCAGTTGCCTAAGCTGAATCTACAACATTCTCCGGCAAATATGATGAATGGTTCTCGTTTTTCGATACATTCAATTCCATTCCAATGCCTCGCTCTCAAATATGCAAAAATTTCAGTATCTACGAGCGTCACTCACCGACGATGCAAGCGCTGTAATCAGTTCATTGGAATTGTCGGACGCTAATTACGATGTCGCGTGGTCAATTCTCAGGGAGCGGTATGATAATAAGCGCATGATTGTTCAAACTCACGTCAGTGCTATATTCGATTTGCCGACTATGACAAGGGACAATGCAGTCGAGTTCAGAAGACTCTCTGACAGCGCCACAAAACATTTGCACGCCCTTTAGGCATTGAAGCGTCCTACAATGCAGTGGGATGATCTTCTCGTTCACCTTCTAATCTCAAAACTTGACTCACTCACATTACGAGTGGCGAACCTCATTAGCGAGAAACGAGCTGCCATCGCTTAAACAGCTGTTAGATTTTATCATTCATCGATGTCAGATGCTCGAGCCTATCACAAGGACTGGCTCCACTTCCGCAAGGAAGGTCGAGGCAAAATCGCAGCCAAATGCTGGTCATCGTGCGCGGCCATCATTAAACCTAAATGCAACTTCTGTCAAGGAGAACACGTCATTTATTATTGCAAAAATTTCGTGGCACTTCCAGTATCACAAAGGGTCGCAGAAATTCGCAGTCGCAAACTCTGCGTCAATTGCTTGTGCTCCTCTTCTCATGCATTAAGCAAATGCATGCATTCCGATCAATGCAAGGTCTGCCAGGCAAAGCACAATACGCTGCTTCAAATGCCCTCAGCCGCGGACTTATTGACTAATAATACCGATAAGGAAGTTGCACTTAATGCAACTTCTCCCCCCTCCTTTCTAGCGAATTATGCTTCAAAATCATCTAATAGCGAAAAAGCCATGCTTTCGACTGCGATTGTGCTCGTCTGCGACAGCGACGGCTCGCGCAGAGCGTGTTGAGCCTTGTTGGATTGTGGATCGCAAGCGAACTTCATAACCAAGAAATTTGTGGAAGATCTCGATTTGGAAACGCGTCCATCAAATGTCTCGATCTGCGGTGTCAATGGCTCGGTAACCTCGTCTAATCACGTGATTAGAATCCAATTACAATCGCGACTCAATTCGTACACCGCGGCTATCGAATGCATTGTTACTGATCAGATTACTGGCAAAATTCCGACGTTTTCTTTGGAGCGGAACAAATTGAATCTTCCGCGCAACATTCTCTTAGCTGATCCGCGATTTCACATATCATTGATCTTTTAATCAGAGTAGACTTGTTTTGAAATCTGATATGCGTCGGTTAAGACAAGCATCCAACTCTCCAAAAAACGCGACTGGGCTGGATTTTGGCGGATCATTTGGACAGCACCATATCGACCGCCTCAAAGGTCCACTCGTTTCACGCGTCCGTAACTAATGCGAAATTACACGAATATCAGTGCCTGGCAAATGGACGAGATCTCCATGCAACCGCACAATTATGATACACAAGATACAATGGAGGAAAACATTTGCAAGCGTCACTTTTTAGACAACGTGTCTCAAAATTCTCAAGGTAAATATACAGTCAAGCTTCCAATCAAAGAGCAAATAGTAAGTAACATTTGCGATTCGCGTGAATCTGCTCTCAAGCGATTGAAGGGCATAGAGAGACGTTTCAAGCGCGACTCTACACTTAAATTTCAATACGCGGCGTTTCTCGACGAATATGTACCGCTGGGACATATGCGACGCGTAGAACCATCAACTGCGGAAGAAACAATATCGTTTTATCTTCCATACCATTGCGTCTTCAAAACGATTGAGCAAGCATCGAAAATCCGTGTTGTATTCGATGTATCTTGCCGCAGCAGTTCCGGCGCATCGTTAAACGACGCCTTTCTAGTGGAATCGATTGTTCAACAAGATTTGATCTCAATTTTAATGCGCTTCCGTTTTATCTATGTCATCACCGCTGACATCATAAAAAAAAATGTATCGGCAAATTTTAGTACATCCGTCACGCGCCTGCAGAGAATTCTCTGACGCAACGACCTCTCTGCTAATGTCGATACGTATGAACTCACTACCGTCACGGTACAACTTCCGCATCATTCTTGGCCACCAGATGCCTTCAGCCGAGCAGCATGCTCATCAATTCACTTGCGGTTCAGCATGCGTCCTTCGAAATTTTTATGTCGATGATATGCTCACCGGAGATATAATCGACGAATTAAAACTATCGCGATGAAACTATTCAACTATTAAAATTAGGAGCATTCGAGTTAAGCAAATGGGCCTCGAACTGCCCTGAACTATTGCAAATAGACAATCGTGATATCATATGCCAGTTATCATCAGAGATAACGTTATGAACTCACAACTGTATTCTGGGCTTGCAATGGAATCAGTGTCAGGATACGTTTCTCTGCAAACTTGATACAGAAACTCACGTTGTATCAAAATGGGTCATACTTTTCGAGGTCACTAAACTTTATCTTCTGGGTCAGGTCATTGTGATCGCAAAACTCATCCTGCAAGATTTGTGGCAATTGGCCATCCAATGGGACGAGTCCGTTCCTCAGGACATCCACACTCATTGGATTCCTTTCAGAACACAGATGAGTGATTTAAATCAACTAAGAATTCCTCGATGCGTTAAACTAAATGCCCATCAACCAATTGTGGAAGTGCACGGATTTTGCGACGCCAGCCAACACGGCCTGCATATACATTCGCGCCAAGCTCGGTATCACTCCAAGTTACTGTGCTCAAAATCTCGCGTCGCATCGCTCAAGACTGTCTCGCTACCGCGATTAGAGCTATCGGCCGCCTTACTATTGGCGCGCTTAATCAATAAGGTTAGAGAGTCTTTGAAGCTCTCGCAATGCTTGACTTATCTATGATCGGACTCAACAATTGTATTAAACTGGATAACCTCTCCCTCGCGGCGGTGATCAGTTTTTATGGCAAACAGGGTGAAATTCAGAAATCAAACATTGGCGTCATGTTGCATCCTGTGACAATCCTGCCGATATATTGTCGCGAGGGCTAAGCCCCTATGACATAATCAATGCTGAGAGGTGGTGGAATAACCCCGAATTTCTAAAATGGGATGAAGAACACCGCCGCCCAGTGTCTTCCCGCATTTAGACAATGATCTTCCCGAACAAAGGAAAATCCACGTAGCCGCTTCTACCTTCCATCCTTACATCATCGACTTGCTAAATAAGTATTCCAATTTAAGTAAAATATGCTGCATCATAGCATATTGTTTAAGATTATCCAAGGCTCATCGGGAACACACGGTATCTACTTTCATGTCCTCCGTTGAAACATCTACCGCTTTAAATTGCATTTGCAGAGCAATGCAACAATGAGCGTTCTATCGCGAATATAAAGCCCTAGTCAAACGAAATTGTAAACGCTTCTAGCGATATTTTATCGCTATCTCCGTTTTTACATTTTTACCGAAAGCGGACTAATGCGAGTTGGCGGGAGATTAAAAAATTCATATCTCGCGTTCAATGCGTGCCATCCAATTCTCCTGCCACGCAAACACATATTAACCCAGCGTATTATAGAGCATGAACACACACGAAACTTACACGCGGGTTTGCAAGCCACGATTTCGTGCGCCAGCGCTTTTGGCCGCTATCATTGCGATCCACCATATATGGAATAATACAAAAATGTGTAACCTGTTTTAGGGCAAAACCCAATCAGAAGCCTTAATAGGCTCATTACCAGCCAGCCGAGTTAACGTATCTAGACCTTTCTCTCGCTGCGGCGTAGACTATGCCGGGCCGCTCTTGTTACGTGAGAGAAGGCGTCGAAACGCGCGGAGTCACAAAGCGTATGTTTCGCTTTTTGTGTGCTTCGCCATGAAGGCGGTCCATCTAAAGTTAGTAAGTGACCTTACGTCCGAAGCTTTTATTGCCGTTTTTAAGCGATTCATTTCGCGTAGGGGTAGACCCACGCACATATATTCAGAAAACGGGATCACCTTCGTGGGTGCTCATAGACAAATTCAAGAGTTATATGACATGTACAATGATTCACAAGTCCAGTCCGAGATTAAAAATTTTCTTTGCGAATTAGAAATTTCTTGGAGCTTCATCCCGCCTAATGCGCCTCATTTTAGAGGTCTATGGGAGACAGTCGTAAAATCTAAAATCAAATACCACATAACTCGGATTGTGAGCAAGGTGTCTCATTTGACCTTCGAGGAAATGCAAACGACCCTCTATGAAATTGAGGCGATCCTCAATTCGCGTCCTCTCTTACCATTAAGCGCCGACCCTAACGATCTAGCGTATCTAAGTTCGGGACATTTCTTGGTTAGCACGCCTTTGAATGGTCTTCCTTGTGTTGATTTGAGCGACGTCAACGAAAATAGGCTACTACGGTGGCAACGCGTAGAGCAAATCCGGCAATATTTTTGGCGCAGGTGGAGTAATGAATATCTTCATTCCCTACAAGCCCGAACCAAATAAATGGCTAACAAGGAAACTCAGCTATCGACTAATCAATTTGTGCTCGTAAGGCAGCCAAACTTAGTTTCGCTTCTCAGTGGGAAATGGGGCGGGTTCCTACGTGGAAATCCATCCTGGTCCCGACGGCATCGCGCGTACCGCAACTGTCAAGACTGCCAAGAGTTCCTACGTGAGGCCATTGTCTAAACTATCAATATTACCAATTTAAACCTAGTCGATGCGTTATCAAACATTTAGTTTTAAGTGTTTTTAGCTATTACCTTCTGATTATATCGTATCTCGCGCAGGCTTCTTTTACTTTCAATAAGAATGACTTATTATATTATTTTTCACTTATTATATCGCTTGCGTACTTAGATGTTAATCCGTGTTGATTTTGAGTGCAATGACTGAATATGATCTAAATCGCACCAGAGCAATTCGTGTTTTATGTTACGCTAACGAACTTATGCTTATGTGTCACATTGAAAGTCAACCCTTTCAAGGCGGGCAGCGTGTTCGGTATCACTATAATTCACGGCGTTATATCGCCTAATCACATCGACGAAAAATCGATCAATTCACGAGACGTCGATCGCTAAACGATGTGTGCGCCACGCGTAATCGATTGGACTAGATCAGATCATCATGGCCGCTCTAACTGTCTACTCGACTGCACGTGTCTCGTTTCGTGGAAAGGTATCGCCGCGCTATCGCTGAGATCCTTTCCGTATCCGTTGTGAAACACGTTCGCCCGCGCTCGAGGCATATTTAATAAAAATTTGGAAAGCAGAGAAAATATCATTTTTTCGACCAAGTGCCCTCGAAGTATTAATACCGCGGGAAACGCTTGGATGATCGCGTGGCCGCGCCATTACGAGTTCATCGCGCGCGCAGCAAGATCGCCAACAATTACTTTTATTTGATTTATGACGAATTGATGATTAATACGGTAGCAAGGAGACGACTCTTATCGTGAATTATTCTTGAGAATTCGTATTGGTTTATTAATAAAATCTGATTCTGAAATTCCCAAAAAAAGAAAAATATCCTTTAAAAGTGAGTCTCAAGAAGCAAGATTAAACAAAATATGTAATTTTATAGATAATTTACCTTCTGATACTGTTTGTTTATTGTCTACTTGTAATATGTGTGACGTTCTCAATACTGCAATGTTAAATCGTATTTCTTCAAAAGAAATATTATTAATTGCTGAAGATGAGATTGAATATATTCCATATATCACAAAAAGAGTATCAAAAATATTAACGGATGATGATGACAATAATAGTAGAACAGCTGGACTTCCAAAACAAATTTCAATTAAAATTGGAGTGAAAGTTATGATAAGATATTGATGATAGTTTGGATCTTATTAATGCTACAGTTATTTCAATTGTGCAGAATACATCTACTATAATAATTATGTAGAAAAGATTAAACTCTTCTTTTATTACCTGGTTTAAAATATTTTAATGAAAGAGTAAGTGTCAAGTGATGAATAAAGCATTTGTTATTAGAAAACAATTTCCTTTATCTTTGAGTTATGCTATCACCGTTCATAAAAGTCAAGAATTAACCGTGAAGTTGTATTGGATATAGGTATTTCTGTTTAGTTGCGGTTAAATTTATGTTACATTATTTCGAGTAACATTTTTAGATAGATTGTGTTTGATTAATTATGATTCTTCATTTATAATAGCTAGTAAAGAAGCAATTATTGAATATAATCGGCTAAAACGACTACATAAACCAGAAGCACAAATTACTATTTTAAAAGAGCGTTATTAAAGATGTGCCATGGACATTATTGAAAATAATAACTTCAACAGTCAAAAGATTTGATAAAATACTATTAGGTGTACAACTTTGCTTCCGCCGTTTTTTTTCCGAAATTCGAGGCTTTATTGTAAAAAACTGATTATACATTTATGATTCAAAGTATTGTCCATCGCTGGCCACTACTTTCTCCCATCTTTCGGATAGCGTACGAATCCCGCGTCGAAAAAACTGGTCATCTTTTGAGGCTATCCACGAATCCAATTTTTTACTTCTTCATAAAACCGGAAGTGCTGGTCAGCCAAGCCGTGTGCCATTGATCGAAACAAGTGATAGTCAGAAGGAGCAACGTGGAGAATACGGCGGGTGGGGTAGGACTTCCCATTTCAACGTTTCCAAGTATGTCTTGACCACTTTCGCAACATGAGGTCGAGCATTGTCATGCTGCAAAATCACTTTATCGTGTCTCTCGTTGTATTGCGGCAGTTTGTCTTTCAATGCTCGGCTCAAACGCATCAATTGCGTTCGAGCCGAGCGCAATCAATACCGATCGCCTGTGATTGTTTCAGTCGGTTTTAACAATTCATAATACACTACGCCGAGCTGGTCCCACCAAATACAGAGCATGACCTTGGACATCAAAATCACCGTTCTTGAAGCGTTGAAACCACTCACGACACGTTCTTTCACTAATAGCGGCCTCACCATAAGTATTTGAGAGCATTCGATGAGCCTCAGCCGCAGATTTCTTCATATTGAAGCAAAAAATTAAAACCTCCCGCAAATGACGAGAATTTGGCTCGTAAACTGACATTTTCAATTGAGAATAACTTTATGATGCAGACACAAATCGACTAATGTTTCTATGGGGTTATGTTGACAGATGTCCAAGTTTGTATGACATCTATGATCTATTTATTTCGACCACCATTTACCGCTAAAGCCATCTATAGGAAAACGGCGGAAGCAAAGTTGTACCTAATATAATACTTCTTGAGTTATACGTGGTTTTCAAAATACTGACAAAGTTTCATGCTACGCTAATGCTACATTACAATGTTTATTTCATTTAAATATTATTAGAAAATAATCGTAGATAATAATATCATTGTGTGTAAATTGATCGAAATTTCAAGATTTGTACAAGTACGTGTATATAATTATTATCTTGTTATAATAAATGATTATAAATCTAATCACGATAATGAGTGATTATTATCTTGTAATATTATACCGCGGCTTGGGATCCGTACCATAGGATAGCTGTGCAAAAGATTGAGAAATGCACGAGAAATGGATTGTAAGAAGTATAAGAAATTCTTTCTTAGAGTGTAAAAGAACGTGCAACTGATGACTATAATTATTGGACTGAGATCGCGCTAAAGGAGCTATATATTCGATCACTCACCGTATTAATACAATAAAATTATTTTGTTATCTGGATATGTGCTTCATTTTAAGAGACCTTATGTCCCTTTCTCTTGCATTACTATAATTTAATCCACCTCGGGACATGACATGCTTATTTAATATGCTAATAAATGAGAAAGGCGTCAAAATAAATCCTCCCCGAGTTCCTTAGGCGTGGGTCAAGCGAAATTAATCTGGAAGAATGACGCGCTCTGATTGGTCGATGGGTAAAAAGTGGGAGAAATAGAATAATTAAATATTTGGTTCGTTCTATAATTGATAAAGATCTGATTGGTTCGCTCCATACCTTCTCACGAGATGACTGGAGAAAGAAATGGTAGAGGACCTCTGACAAAATGAAAGGTAAAGTCCGACAAAATGGCGAGAGGGAGATTAAGATCGCATTTTTGGTCGTGGAGAGGAAATGAACGAACAGCGGACATGGCAGTCAGTTTTATGAGACATTTTTTTGTTGGCACGATCCAATGTTTCCGACGTACGTTTTAATGAGTATTTTTTTATTATTTATGACGAGATCTTTTACGAAAATCTTTTACGAAAGTCTAGGAGAATCTTATTTTACTTGAAAGAAAGGGGAGAAACATTTATTTGTCGGCGCGGTGTTTCTTATGTTGATTCAGACATTACTCTAAAAAAAAATTATTTCTGTATTTTTTTTTACATATACATTATCTAAGCCTGAAATACCAGAGGAAGAGTGTCTTTTGTAAAAGGAAGCGAAATTACGAGTAAAAAAATAGACGAAAGTTTATAATATAAAAAAAAATAGATTTATATAAATTCTTTACCATAGAAAAATACATAATTTGTGGCGACTACAAGTGTCAACACAATGCCTAATCCGGCGTACACACAACGGGCGCGCGATCGCGCTACGAGAAATTTTCTCACAAGCGCTCGCGAGATGCGAGTATCACAACACAGCCCCCAGAGGATTGGCCCTTCGCAAGACCGACGGGTCATATAAGATGCGCGGAACCGAGAAGCGATACCACGTGGACACGATGCATCCGAGAGGATATCTACATGAGCTTTAATCACGCCAAGCTCCGGCAACTAACCAGGCCAGCCAAAGTATCTATCAGCAAAGTGAGCAGAGGTAGGAAGCAGCGGCAGCAGCCCAGCAGTCACGGCGACTCCAAGGGCAGCAGAGGAGACGTCGCAGGAATCAACAGCGGCGGAGCCGCCAAGGTCAACGCCATCCAGTTCGGCCGGCGATCACCAGCGCGAACGGCCACAGCGGGACCACGCCTACTAGCACCAGGGACAACTACCATAAGACAAACCTGCGAGGCGGATCGAAGAACGCCGCCGCCGCTGATAGTGGGCCTCCACGAAAGCAATCTCCGCACCAGAAACATCGGCGCTGCAAAAACATGTCCCCCTCATTCTGCCACTGCTGGACGAGAACAACAATCAGATAGAACCACTGAAATATAGCACATTCTCCGTTAGCTACCGCGTCACTTGTTGATGCAAATCGAATGGCCCTTTTTTGAAGGGCTACACCGCCTTTGTCAAGGTACTGTACTTATCTGCAAATACCTTGTACATATCATACAATTCTGCGCCATTTCTTTCTTTTTCATACCGACTCCTGAGCTGTTTTCTTAGTACATGGCGAGCAGTAGAGACCGACGGCGACGGACGATCGACTGCGAAAAATCGCCAAATACTTCAATCGAGTAAATAAAAATAAAAAGAATAATTGAACATAAATTATGATTCTTCAGTTCGTAAGAATTATAAAAAATTTCATTATAACATAATGAAATTTGTTCCAAAAATATTAAAATACTTATTGAGAATAA